AAAGCCATTATTCTACAATCTTTCTGTCTCCAAAGCCTCTAGGAAGTTGGAGACTGATTCTGGACCTAAAAGTCTTAAACACCAATTTAAAGATAGAGTCATTCAAGATGGAATCCATTGCCAGTATAGTATCAAACATAAAGGGAGATTAAATGACGTCTATAGAACTCAAGGACGCATATTATCAGATCCCCATTCACCAGTCTCACGTAAAGTTTCTGCGTTTTTGGATTTGGGAGAAACATTATCAGTTCAGAGGCCTTCTTTTTGGACTAAGTCTGGCTCCAAGGACTTTATCAAAAGTTCTCATAACTTTGATTGCTTACCTACGTTTACAGCAGATAGAGATATTCCATTACCTGAATGACATACTCATAGTGGGATCCTCTGTCCAGGAGGTATTACTTCATACACAAGCAACTATACTCTGTCTTCAGGAACACAGGTGGATACTGAATCTAGAAAAAAGTTCTCTGATACCTTCTCAACAGATAATTTTCCTGGGTGCTGTGATAAATAGCAACAGTATCTCTATCTCCAGACAGAATAGTGAAGATTCGGGAGAAGATTGTGAACATGCAAGCTCATCAGTCCTTCCTGCAAGATATTATATGAGCCTCTTGGGATATGTGACAGACAAGCAACAGAGTGTGTAAAGCCCACACCTCTATACACAACTGTACAAAAGCAATAACTTATCTTAGTAATGAAAACAGCTTCCTCTCGGGATATTCCAGACTTTATCGATGGCAGAGGAGTATGGCTGGTAGTCTACAGCAGTGGTAGTCAACCTTTTTCTACCTACCGCCCACTAATGCATCTTTCTTTATTTAAAAATTTCCTTACCGCCCACGAGTTTTCATGCAAGTGCAGAATATTTTTTAGAAAGGAGGGTGTTTTAAAAAAAATAAATGTACGTACATTTATCTTTTTATTTCTACTTTATGCATGTTTATAATGTTTTTAACTTTACAAAGTTTAATGAGAAAACAATAAAGTAAATTGAAATTACCTTTACTAGTGATTAATGAGATCCTTGAGGTTGATGCTGCGAGACTAAATATGTGATATCTGGTTCGATTTTTGCAAGAAAAAAATGAAGGTCTCCTCTTTTGGTGATATTCAGACGATTTCTCTGTTTGCTCATAATATGATTTCTCATCTGTGCATCAGCTCCCCTCCTCTCCCTCCTCAATTCCCCTCCCCACCTTTTTTTTCTTCCTTTTTTCTATTTTTTTAACCTTCCTTATAGCAATGCCCATTAAGAAGGCTGAGCTAGGCAGCCCACTTACTATTATTAGCCAACAACAATTCTCTCCTTTTCCTTTTTATTTTCATTCTTTCTCCTTTTTTACAAGTACTCTACTCCTTCTTTCTCCTATTCTACAAGTACTCTGCGCCTTCTTTCTCCTTTTTACAAATACTCTGCTCCTTCTTTCTTCTATTCTACAAGTACTCTGCTCACAGACAAACACACACACACCTACAGACACACACACTCACAGAAAAACACTCACACATACACTTACAGACACACACTCACAGAGAAACACATTCACACAGACAAACATACACACACTCATACATACACTTACAGACAGACACACATACACTTACAGACACAGACACACATATACTTACATACACACATATACTTACAGACACACACATACACACACTTACAGACACACACATACACTTACAGACATACACACAAATTATTATTAAATGTCCACCCAGCCTCCCTACCTGGAGAGCTGGTGTGGATCTGTCCCTGGGGTCCAGTGGGGATTCACTTCAGCGGGCGGCAGAGTTCAAATCCGAGGGGGTGAGGGAGCTCTAACCTCTCTGCTCTGCTCCCTCGCGGGCTGCCTACTGATGCCGGGACCTGGAATATGATGTCATATTCCGGCTCCCGCGGCATCAGAAAACATTGCGCGAGGCAACAGAGATGTTTGAGCTCCCTCGCCGCGGCCGATCTTACCACTGTCGCACGCCATGCTGGGGGTCCAGAAGGTGGCCTGGCAGGAAGGAGCGCTTCCCTCCTGCCGGTCACTGAAATCTTGCGCCCGCATAGCCACTCGCGCCCGCACCCAAAAAAGAGGATTTAGCTGCTGAAATCCCTACTGCCCACCTGGAATCCTGAAACGCCCACTAGTGGGCGGTAGGGACCAGGTTGACAACCCATGGTCTACAGAATCAAATACAACACAATAGTATGATACTGTAAATTAACGTTGAAACTGCGCAAATATAAGTAGAACTCACAAGATGTAAACAATAACAAAAGACTTCTTCAGGGACTCAATAATAAAAAACAAATTGTGTATATAAAACATCCTAACAAAAGGACAAAATAGCAGTAACCCTACCATCCCCAGTCCTTCCTTATATGTGGCTGTCTTTTCTTCTTACTGGTGGTCCATGGGGCGTTGTCCTCACTGTCCAGCTGTTTCAGTGGATTCCTCAGTTGATTTTCATGGGTATCAGATCTGTGTGACCTCACTTCCGGTATGTCACCTCCGGTTTGTACTTCCAGGTGACGTATGCATTACAAATGGTGGCCATTTTGCGTTCCACCTTCGGTAATGCACAGTAGCAGTCCAATGTTGATGTAAACATAATTGAGTCCTTGGTTCATAGTAAGGAAGCCTACAGGGCTCAAAATAAGTGCAAATAGTAATGCATGTAAGAATACATCCAGCATGTAATGTATTTAAAGAGAGGGAAGGAAATCAAAATAGAACACAGACATCAATGTGGCAGCACTTACCCAGTATATAGGTAAACAGCACCATTTAAAAAAGAGAAGACACTTCTAAATGTAAAAATTAAATTAAATTATATTAAGAAATTAAAAAATTATAATCATAGAAATGATTTTGGTCTTATTTTTTATGGTATAGAAATGCAGATATTAATGGAAATTCCGACGTTTATTGCTTTTATATTGTGTTGTAATCTATTTTAGATCTAATACCTTATACCATCAGGCAGTGCTACCACATATTTATCCAACAAATGTGGAATATACTAACACAAAAGAAGCATATATTTACAAAGCCTAAACCTTTCACCTATATGGATTTAATAATATATTTAGTAGCAGAGAGACTTATTTATCAGCAAAGGGACTTATTTATTTAAATAAGACAAAGCACTTGCATAGTAAATGCCCCATTCAAAAAAACTATGAGGGCAATCAAATATATAAATCTGTTGTAACCCAAAAAAATACATTCATGGAGAGGAATATCCAGCTAGAACTGTTTTCTAACTGGCAAATTCACCCTCTATATAAACAAAAGATTTAGAGGAAGCACACTATATCTATATCTGCATTGAGACCACCTGGCTCAATAGAGCCCAATTGATGGATCCAAAAAGTCTCCTGTGTAAGTCTATCTTCTCTATTTCCCCCTCTCCAGTGTGATGGAAAGTATTCTATTCCAAAAAAAAATAAAAAAAAATCTATTCCAACTCAAGTATGAACAAGAATTACAATGTGTAGGGACTGTATGGTTGCTGACCTTCCTTCTGATGTTTCCAAGGTGTTCTAAGATCCTCACTTTTAAATTTCTTTTTGTTTTGCCAACATATTGTTTGCCACAGGGGCACTGCAATAAGCATATTATGTCGTCTGTGTGGAAATCTATTCTATGTTTAATTGTATATTGTTTCCCTGTGACTGTGCTGGTAAAATTCTTTACTATAGACATAGGAATATGATTGCATGTCCTAGTCTCTGCAATATCTAAACCCCTTATCCTGAGTATGATACTCTGTTTTATCGATATGTTTAATACTATAACTTGGAGCGAATGGATTTTTAAATTTTTTTTTTTAAATAATAGGAGGTCGTTCTGGCAAAACAGATCCAAGGATGTTATCCTCGCAGAGGATAAGCCAATATTTTGATATTGCTCTTTTAATTTTAAAATGATCAGTGTTATATCTAGTAGTGAAGGCATGTTTAAATTTCTGTGTCTGTTTTTTATTGCTAAAGTGTCTTGATCTGGCCATCATTAATTCATTTCTATCTTTCTCTGCAATTCTTTTTATCCCCTTTTCAATATGGTGTTTATGACCTTTGTTAATTTATCTTTTATAATGGCAACTTATATTTATCATAATTATCATCCAAAGTAGTGCAGTTCCGTTTAACCCTTGTAAGTTGGCTTTTAGCAGTGCCTTGGAGCCAAGGCTCATGATGGCAACTTTGCCTATGAACATACTAAAAACAACTGAAGCAAAACAGATAAGTGGTAAATAAGATTGTGTAAAATCAGTAATACTTAAAAGCAAACAAGCCAACACAGTCCAAAATTAAGTAGATAGGTAAGTCTATAAGAGTTTGCCTTTATCTCCAGATGAGTATGTCTTCCAGATATTTGAGGTCCAGGTACATAAAAAAGTAGAAAAGTGATCCAAAAGTGCAACATGTTCTGTAAAATAAAGTCCAAATGGCCTAATCACATGGAATAGAGCTTAAAACCAGCTCTAGTGTAAAGCGCGTGCAGTGGTATTATTCCCCCACTTCAGGGATATGATGGGAGGTATAAACCAAAATGTATCTTGTCAGCAGGATATGTGAAGGTAAAAACAAAAAGGTACAACAGATCATGCTCTCTGTATCAAAAATATCAAGTAGGCTCACATTTACCTGAGCAGATAACCCGCTCAGTGTTATCAGCGTAGGTGGTATAATCGCCACCAGGCATGCTTTGTGAGTTCCTCACTGTGAAGATAAAACCTTGATGCCAGGTAAAAAAAAGAAAAAGCAAAAGGTGTATGGTACTAATATTGGTAATAAAAGATACCAAAACCTTTAGACAATTAAAATGTAAACTATAATCCACAAAGCGTTTCACCCACAGTTGGCTTTTTCACCACTTGAAGAGACGTTTTCAGACCCTGCATGGCAAGATTGCGGCAAGTCTTGAACAGCGACAGAATTGAAGCCCCATGGGGCAATGAACATAGTAGAATCAGTGGCTAAGCTGTTATGGACAGATGAATTAGAATAAAATGGCTATTTACTAATGTCTATTTATTCTCTGTTCACTATGTTAAAACTGGCTTCTAGAGTAAATATTCCCTTCCCCCCTACAATGTGGTCAGCTGCTGTTTACTATGTAAATTCCTCACATCCTGCTAGCCTCCCCCCCCCCTTCAAATCAATAAAACCCTGTGTAACCAAAGTTCCTGTGATAACTCCCTTTACTAACTCCTCCCCCACTACCTTTGTGCCAGTTAACAGCTATATGCCACGTATAGCTAAATGGAGGATCAGTGGTTTAGAACTGATAGAAACTTCTCACTCCCCCCTCCCATCGTGTATCCAGAAGTCTATAATGATGACACTACATCCTGTAGGGGGGTTTAAACAAGAGCCCCTTTCTCTGTTAACCAATTGGTGAATGTATACTGTATGTTTAAACTGTGACGTATTTTTGCTTTAAGAAGGAGCCCCCACTCCGGGGAATAAAGCATTCCTGAGTTTTTCACTGATCAGAAACTTTGTCTCCGGTGTGAATTACTTCTAGGGAAAGCGTGCACGCATTAATCAGATAATTTGGAAGGTGTAGATAGACAAATTATCAAAGTTTTCTTTGATCCAAAACAATTTTGGCGCCCGAACAGGGACGAAAGGGATACGTTACTAAGGTAGCCGTCAGATCCCAAGACAGGAGAACAAAGGATTCCCAGAGATTGGAAACGGAGCCTGATCACCTCTGCATATGGTAAATGAGTTACTTACCTATATTTTCCTTTCTTTGGATTTCTCTTGTTCTCCGTGCCTTCACATTCGGCTTCCGGTGTTTAACGTCTTCAGACAGGTAATATATATATGCCCGAATGTCCCCTTTTATATAGAACCTGTCACTTGTCTATCTACAGCCTGAGTCCTGAGTGTGAGTTTTATGTGTGAAAGTGTCTGTTTGAGAATCTGTTTTACTTTCTTGTGATTATTTAATTCAGGGTGCAAATATACCTGGAGTTTTTAGGCCAGATTATATTAATATTTTAATATTTTAATATTCATTCTTGGCGTTTCTTTTGTTGTTTTTCATTTAAATTCAGGTGTGCAGAATAGCCCCTGGTGGTTTAGTTGTCCGATTCATATTAAAAATAGATCGTGGCGTTTCTTTTGTTGTTTTAATAAAAAAACAACGAACAAAGAGTTAAGTTGTTGTATGTGTGTTTGCGTGTTTCTATGTATGTGACCTGAGTTATTATAAGCCGGCATTTATTTTAAGGACTTTGTGATTTAATCACATCTGTATATTGTGCATGTATATGTTAATTGTTCTATATTTTATCTGTGTCTTGTAGCGCTCCTATTCTATCTTTTGTACTAAGGAGAGCTGTGCTTAGGCACTTACATGGTTAAATACTTTGTGCTTGCAACTCTGCTTCACCCTCTCCTCCCCCCTCCCTTTTTTTTTTTTTGCATCACTCTGGTTCTCTGTGCTCTGCTAGGACGTACATGTGACCTTGATGCACGTTTCCCTTAGTCTATAACTCTCTATCTCTCTCTCTCTCTCCCTCTCTTTCTCTTTCAGTCAGTCTCTTTCTCTCTCCTCTTTCTCTTCCTAACTCTTTCTCTCTCTCTCTCTCTCTCTCTCTCTCTCTCCCTCTCTTTCTCTTTCAGTCAGTCTCTTTCTCTATCCTTCTCTTTCTCTTCCTAAATTTCTCTCTCTCTCCCTCTCTTTCTCTTTCAGTCAGTCTCTTTCTCTCTCCTTCTCTTTCTCTTCCTAAATCTCTCTCTCTCTTTCTCTCTCTAACTCTCAGTCTCTCACTCTCTTTTGGTCCAGGGTCTGCTTCTCTCTATCCATACCACTGTTGTGTATAAATGGGTCAAACTAATGTTAGCCCCTCCCGGGGTCGGTTAGCATGTGACCTTGTAAAGGAAAGAGCTGGGGACTTAGCTGTAGCCAAACTTAAGAAAATTATTAAACTGTGTGGTATTACTATGTCCCCCAGTGGCAGATTGCAGGCGGAAGACTGGAGGAAACTTTTAAACGATAAACATGGGATATTGTTAGATAATGGGTTAATGAAGGCCGCAGATTCTTGGTATCGGGTGGCTCGAGGGATTAAGAAGGAGGGGTGGATTGAGGAGGAGATAGACCTAGAGGGGAAGAAAGTCTTTGTGTATCATGAAAAAGGTTGTTTTGTTGAATCTGTTGAAGGCGTTTCCAGCCCTCCTCCATATGATAAGGCCTGGCCAGAAAGGGGGGTGGCTCAACCAGCCCCTGGAGCCCCCACACAGCCCATTCATGTTAACACATGCTCTCCAGCCCCTGCTGCCTTGTACCCTGTCCTTAAGGCAGACGGTTCATGTTATTTTCCAGCCCCCTCTCCTTCTCCACTCCAAATCCCAGTCACACATTCCCTTCCTGTTTCTTTGCCTCCTCCTCCCTTACCCATCTCTGCTGCTACACCCTCTCTTCCAACTCCTGTTGCTTCTGTCCACGCCCAATTCCTTTCACATCTCCCTATAACTTCTGCCCTTTCACTGTCACCATTTCCTGTTTCTAACACACCCATCCCTTCCATGATGGTAACTTCCCCTACCAACACCCCTGTGGTCGCTTCCTCCCTCCCTTCTGTATCCTCTTCCATTCCGGCCCATCTCATAACTGCCCCCAGTGT